GGTAAGTCTAAGAAATAACCTCAACACTGTGGAGATTTCTGCCCTTTTTCTCCATTCCTGCAATTACTTTTTTTTAATATGCCCTTGGCTTATCACCGATTCAGAAAATGCAAATTTTATTTATTATTTATTAATCATATTTATACGCAGCCAGTTTGGTCTATTGATTAAGGCACCGGGCTAGAAAGTGGGAGATCATGAGTTCTAGTTCTGCCTTAGCTATAAAAGCCAATCTCTCTCTCAGCCCAGCTCACCTCACAAGGTTGTTGTGGGGAAAATAGGACAAGAAAAATGTGTTGCATATGTTTGCCATCTTGAGTTATTTGTAAAAAAATAAAGGCAGGAAGTAAGTTATAAAATTGGTTATCTATCCTCAAAGGGGATTATGGCTCAAATTTTGAGTTGAATGTTGAGTGCAAGTTTAGCTATTCATGATAAAACTACAAGGTTTCAATATGGAATTCTCTGGCTCTGGAAAAGCATGAAACACACCTCAGAAAAGTGCAGGGTTTTCTATGACCCCATACTGCTATCCATCAGCTGGATGCATTGGAGTTATTCAGCTAATCAATTAATATACTGTGATTTATTACAATACAGACTTATGATTTCTATTGGTGGCCACTCCCTGATGATGTACATATGATGTAACTATTTGCCACAACAATGTATTTCTGAGGGAAACTGTCAAGCTGTCTTTTTACTGTATTATTGTAATGGAAACCTGAATCCATGAGTTTTAAGGATTTCATGAAAGATATATTACCTATTGAAACAAAAATCTTACAGTATCTTAACTATTTTAGTGTAATTTTTAAGGACAGTCCATCTTTCATGTAATTTTGTTTTCCTGTGGGATTGGGGTGAAGAAAGAATTGTATATACTGAGTAAAAATAAGTGAATTCTGCATAACGATGCTTTTTTGCTGTTCCTTCCCAGTTCTAGGGGTGTGACTAAGAACAAGACATGGATGTCTTCAAGTCCATCTTCAACAGAAGGAGACTTATCTCCACCACAAGTTATACCTATTGCACTTGCTTTTTCACCAGATAAACCTTTTATCGAAATAGAAGAAGACATTACTAAAAAAGGGAAAACAACAGAAGTAATGCTAGCTAAGAAGGTAGGTTGGGTTTTATCTGCCATGTCAAAATACAAACCATGTATTGCAGTAAAAAATAGTGTTGCAACTGCTGCTTGTGTTCAAAAGAATTCGAAAGATACTATCATCTCATATTGTACCTGTTATGGTAATATTTTACATTAGGAAGGCTCTTATGGTAGTTCAATAATGCAGGATTTTGTTGGCCTTGCTTTTAAATGTGCTGTGCAGAGAGATCCATATCTCTTGAAAAGATTTTAAATGCAATTATTCCAAACGTTGGTTATATTAATAGTCCATCGGCGCCTCCTTTCAATACTTTGACACAAATATTCTTGTTAAGAACCAGTTTTTAGAAAAGGTGGGTGGGAAACCTATTTACACTAATGACTCATTAAGGGGAACATTTGAATTAGATCACGCAAGCACTGAAATTAAAGGTTGGAGCAGCAGAATGTCAAAGATTTAGATATTGTATTTTGGGAGGTGGGGACAAAAGTTATGTAACCTGACATTCTGTATTTTTGAGAGTATGATATTGGAACCCTTAAAACACTTTTTTCTAGGACTTGTTGATAGAATTTGAAACAGTTAAAACACCAGTTGCCATGCAGGAGTATGAAAACAAACCTCTAATTGATCTTTTTAACACTCCTGAAATAACTAAAGCCCCTCCATTGAAACCTACAGGGCAGGTAAGGTTATTTTTATCTCACTGTTAATACTGTTTGTATGTAAGTGTGGATTGGTGATAAAAAGTTTAATTGCACATATTTTACATTTAAAAACATTCAACCTGTATCTTTGAAGCTCTGTGCAATAACTGATGTTATATATACTGCATGTAGTATTACAAAATTTAACCTCAAAATTCTGCCAAAACTTGGCATTCACAGGCTATTACAAAATTAGTATTTGAATTGGGTGCAATTGGTTGTAATCAAAACTGCACTGTCAATGTAGATTTGCTAACAGATGATGTTCTTTATATTTCCAAGAATGTAACAGTTGTGTTTAGTCAATGTTTTAATAATATATTTTCTACTTGTAGCTAATAGACCTGAACTCTCCTTTGATGAAACTAAGTCCTGAAGGAAATAAAGAAAATTCACCTCTTCTGAAATTCTGATTTTTACTTTTTAAAAAATGGTTTTCAAACTGGAAAAAAATCTAGAGTTTAGCAACTAATGTTTCACTGGTCAGTAGTTTTAATACTGGAAAAAAGATAAGAAATTAAAATTGTGAACTTGAAATGCTGATATATTGTTGCTAGGAAAAATAAAGAATATATGGTTTTTCTATATTTTAAGCAATTTTGGTTGTAGCAAATCTGATAAAAATATTTGTTTTAAAATTGTGCAAAGTAAATGGTAAATGTCAAATATTTGAAATAAAGTTAAGCATTTTAAATATTGATTACACACTTTCATAATTATTGCAAAATATTGTTAGAAGTTTTGGAGATGACAGTCCCAATTCTGATCAGTAAGTCAGGACTACCTAATTAGAAAAAAAACAATTGAAACTGTTTAATAATTTAATTTGCAGGACAGTACATTCCATGCAATTGTTAACAATATAACCAACTGATACCCAGGCCTGATGGAAAAAAAATGTCCTAAAAGCCACCAAAAATTCAAGACTCACCAGCCTAATCTCATAGAGAATTATGTACCAAAGGGCAAATGCTACAGCAAGAGGCTCTCCTAAGTGCTACCAGATGACATATCATAATTATAATTAGAAACTATTAAAATAAAGAAAAATGAACAGCAGCATTACTTTGTCCTGCATGATGGAAGAAACTGGAATACCCTCAGTGAAAAGTAGAAAAGCAATTTTGTCTCCACACCACTCACTTGAAAACTGCCAGTATGCAATCCACCCAGAGTCACACAGAGATGGGTGGCATAAAAATTTAATAAATAATAAAAATGTATTGCTCCTACTTTCAATTGTTACCTTGCTATAGGAAACCTGTTGCCAAATGGGAATGTTCTTGTTTACATAGTACAGGACAAGTTTAAAATAGGGACTCCTTCAGTTTTGCTTCTTTTCCTTCCTACCAAACATTCACTGTTTTCCTTAACTGGGCTGAAAGAGAAAAGTAGCTATCCAAAATCATTGCTTCAGATTGCAGAAGCTGCTCTGTCTAACCAGGTCTTGAGTCCCATGGACCATCTGTGATCTTTACCCTAGCAGCTAAAAAGCCTATTCTCCCTGCTTTATCAACTGAATCTCCGAGCCAGAAGACTGTTATGCTGCTCTCCCACACCTGTCAGTGTTATCAAGGTAGCTGCCCAGCAAAATAAGATTTCTCATTTCACTGCATGGCCTCCCAACATGTTAAAACATGTTGAGCCAGGAACTGACCTAGAAATGTGTTGGTCACAATAGAAAAGACTAACAAGAAAGGGACTCTTAATGCCCAGGTGAGACTGACTGTAGAGAACAGGAACCCTAGATCACACCTGCACCAACTTCAAGTATGTTATAAAGTACCAGGCTAAACCCACTCCTGATGAGAGGAATGAAAATTAGGTAACAGACAAAAGGATACACAACATGTTTACATTAAGGCTAATTGCAGGTGGGGAAAGGTCTTAATTCTTATCATTTAACACAGTGTTTCTCAACCTTGACAATTTTAAGGCATATGGACTTCAACTCCCGGAATTCCACAGCCAGCAATTGTCAGCAATTTGTCAAGGTTGAGAAACACTGATTTTAACACTTAGTTTAAGAAAGGTCAGGTGACCTGTCTTTACATAAGTTCCTTAAGATGGTTATCTAAGAATAATATGGGAATCATCAACTAACAGAATATAGCATAGTCTTAAGAACAAAAAAAAAAAATCTTTGTTTAAGGTAGTGTTTTTTCAAATTCAGCAACTTGAAAATGTGTGGATTTCAATTCGTAGAATACTCCAGCCAACATGCTGACTAGGATATTTGGGGAGTTGAAGTCCACACATCTTCAAGTTGCCAGGTATGAAAAACAATGGTTTAAAGAATGGTTCATAAATAGTTCATAAAAGTCTGGAACTTGCCTTGGTGTAAAATACAGTGGAAATAAAAATAATGGGAATGAAAATAGAAATAGAATAGAAGCTGGAAGGGATCTGGGTGGTCTTCTAGTCCAACTCAAGCAGGAGATCCGATACCACAGGGGTCTTCAAACTTGGCCCTTTTATGACTTGTGGACTTCAACTCCCAGAATTCCTCAGCAAGCATGCCTGGCTGAGGAATTCTGGGAGTTGAAGTCCACAAGTCATGAAAGGGCCAAGTTCGAAGACCCCTGCTATACCACTTCAGACAAGTGGCTGTCCAGTTTTTTCTTAAAAATCTCCAGTGATGAGGCACCCACAATTTCTGAAGTTGTTAAGCTTCATATTTGCAAAATAGCAGCAACCTATTCAAAACGAGTGATACCAAAACAGAAGTTGAGTGAATCTGCATTGGCCCAGTTTGGTACGGGGGTTAAGGCTTCTAGTTAAAAAACCAGGAGACCATGAGAGCCGGTTCCTTTCTCTCAGACCCAGATGGCAAAAACAGTTCCAAAATCTTCCTGAGAAAACTGCAGGGGCTTGTTCAGAGCAGTCCGCCAGGAACCAACACTCCCTCGCAGGTGCGGACCCCCCCCCACACACACACGTGTGTCCTTCAGCGGTTGCTCCCATTCGAAAAAGCTTCCTCCGCCTGGGGTGAATCGAAAAGGCAATGACTTCTGCTTCCATCCCCCTCAGCCTATACTAGGGGTCTGTAACCTTGACAACTTTTAAGGCTTGCGGACTTCAGCTCCCAGAATCCCTCAGCCAGCACAGCTGGCTGAGGAATTCTGGGAGCTGAAGTCCGCATGTCTTAAAGTTGTCAAGATTGCGGACCCCTGGCCTATAGGACCAAAATATGAAAGGGCCGGTAAGCTCCTCCCACTATCGGGGTTCTCTCCTCCTGAGGGAGAGCCGAGGAGAAACCCGGTTTCCCGGCCTTTTGTGAGATCAGCTCCGCCCACAGGCGGCCCTGTCCCGCCTCTGCTCTTCAGGTCACGGTGGGCCGCGGTCGGGAAAGGCAGTGCGGCCGGCTCTGAGGCAGCGAAGCGAGGCCATGATGGGGGCCGCTCGTCGGCACGTGGTGTGCGCCATATCGGGCGGGGTGGACAGCGCCGTGGCGGCGCTGCTACTGCGGCGACGAGGTGAGCGGAGAACTGGGGCGAGAGCAAAAGGCCCCTTTACTACCCCCCCCCCAGCGTTCTTTCCGTCAGCAGAACTTCCGTTCCGGTGTGTGGAGACTACAACTCCCGGCATTCCGTTGCGAAAGGTTTCAGAGATGTACAGTAGTAGTTAACATCTGGTGGGCGAAGTCTGATGGAAGGAGTTGCCCTGCGCGGATAAAATGCTCCTTCTGGTTGGATTCCTGGGGACTGTAAGGAAAGATTTATATAGTATAGGTCAGGGGTCTTCAAACTTGGCCACTTTAAGACTTGTGGACTTTAACTCCCAGAATTCCTCAGCTATCCCTGGCTGGCTGAGCAGTTCTGGGAGTTGAAGTCCACAAGTCTTAAAGTGGCCAAGTTTGAAGACCCCTGGTATAGGTAGTCCTCGACTTAACAACCACACCTGAACCCAAAATTTATGTTGGTAGTGAGACAGCTGAGTGAGTTTTACCCCCTTTTACGACTTTCTTGCCACAGTTGTTAAGTGAATCACTGCAATTGTTAACTTAGTAACATGGTTGTTAAGTGAATCTGGCTTCTGACCCCAGGACACTACAGCTGTCATAAAGATGAGTCAGTTGCCAAGCATCTGAATTTTGATTATGGGTATGCTGCAACGGTCATATGTGTGAAACACAGTTATAAGTCACTGTTTTCATTGCTGTAGTAACTTTGAACTGTTGTAAGTCAAGGACTAGCTGTATTCGAAACAGCAAAATACAATTCTTTACCCTGGCCTTCTTTCGAAGCACATTTTTTAAGCTTCTCAGTCCTTCCTGAAACTCTTGACTCTCATAGTGGTATTCCATCCAAACATTTAGTCTGCCTGAGCCTGCTTAGCTTTTGCAGATCAACCAAGGTCATCTAGGACCTCCATATACAGTAGTGGCCAAAATTGTGGAAACCTTTTGGGAAAAGTGTACAGTAGAAATGCTACTTTTGGTTAAGTTTCCACCAATTTTTCTTCTAATTTCTTTATAACTGTAGCCTTGTTCACTTAATAATACTATTTTACATCGCTTTCTGGGCAACCAGTCAACTCTTTGCACCATTACTTTAATTTTATTACGTTTTACAAGCTCACTAAATGAAAGAACACAAAAAACCCCAACCAACTTGATAGCGATCACATAACACACTGACAAATGTCCTCCTCTTAGCTTCAATACATGACATCAATCACTGACTCCTACTGTGATCTGATTGGCTCATTGCAAAAACAAGATGACACCAGATTGGCTCTCTAAACACTCATGCTCATTGGCTACAGTGAGATGAAGGAAAACTACCTGATATCAACCTAAGCAAGTTGTGCTTCCTTGTTCTGGTTATTTGGCTATAACTTTTCATAGAATACAGTACAGATAATTGAATAAGCTTTGTTGCATTACATTCTTGATTAAATTATCTTTCCATTGATATATAATTTTATGGTACTACTCCCAAAAAAAAGTGGTGTTATTAGCCGTCAAATCTCAAAAGTACACTTTTCCCAAAAGGTTTCCACAATTTTGGCCACTACTGTAGCTTGTCAGCCGTTAAATTATGCAAAATTCTTATGGATTTACTAACTCCTTGGGGCATTCAGTAGTACCGTTAAGGACTACTTATTGAGTATGGTTTGTCATCCATCCACCTGGTGGTGATGCTGTCTATCCCACATTTTTCTAGCTTACCAAGTAGTAGGTTGTGGTCTACTTTGTCAAATGCCTTGCTAAAGTCTAAATATTACTATGTCCTCAGCATTTCGCTGGTCTACTAATTTAATCACTTTGTTAAAGAATGAAATAAGATTGGTTTGGCATGATCTGTTTTTAACAAACCCGTTCTGACTACTAGTTAAAATTTTGTTTCTAGAGGTCAGCTATACTATGTAGCATAATCCTGGGAAAAGATGCACTTGGTTTAAAGAGTTGCAAACAGATACTGAGACCCAATTACAGACTTTGAAGGATCTTTTTGCTAAAATATTATTTAATTATTTTATAGTTTAATGATGAACCTAACATGAGCTAATTCAGTGCTTTCATGGGGAGTCTATGACCAGAGATGAATATTCAGTCCATTAGTGCCTACATGTTTGGACACATCTAGCTAGAATGAAGATTTTCTAACTGTCCACAATTTACAATTCTGGGAATAGTATATTTTGTGTTAACGCAGTAAGAGTTATCTAAAACTGGAAAAAGTGTCGGAGATATGAGGAGTTTTTGCCATAGATGATTCAAACATTTTTTAAAAGGGAAAGATTGAACATTGCTATGAGTATATCCCACCGTATGTTTATTTTTCATGCACAGTATTGCCATTTATACCTTCTCATTTCTTGCTTTCCCCATCTGAGCAGGATATGAAGTGACGGGGGTGTTCATGAACAACTGGGACGTGGTGGATGAAAAGGGAATTTGTCAAGGCAATCAAGATTGTGAAGATGCTTATAAAGTGTGTCAGATACTCAATATTCCATTTCGCCAAGTTTCCTACGTTAAAGAATATTGGAATGAAGTGTTTAGGTAAGAGAATTTTCATAAACCATTTGATGAAAGAAAACCGTGTGATTGGGAAAATTAATAAGAGGATGGGCTTTTTGTGGAGGCTTTGCAAGCTTCCTTAACTAGTTCTTCTCTCCTCTACTGCACTTGATAAATCTAGCAAAGCATCACTGCTTTATGCTTTAGTTATGAAAATGCACATGAAAAACGGCCCAATTTTAGAACATCCTGAATTCTAATAAAATTCCTTTGCCTCTGTAAGCAAAAACAATTTGCCACAGACCTGAAGAAAGCTTATTTGAATAGCTGCGAATGATAAACTAAAGATGCAGACTTCCTTGAGTTGAATTTAACTTCTGATAACTATAATACAGCCAACATGGTTTTCTTGGGAAAATATGGAAGTAATTCACCATTTCCTATTTGGTATACGGGCACCTCTGCCTCCACCTGCTACTTGGAGGGCTAGTCTGGTGGTTGCAGCACTTGGACCCACCTGCATTGCGGGACTCCAGAGTGTGTCGGGGCTGTGGCTGCTGCCGGACACTGTCGGCCACCGTGTGCTTGCCGCCTCTTGTGGGTGTGCTGGGGGGCGCCCAGCCGGACTGGGATGGGCCATGCTCGGTTGGGGGGGGGCGGTCCCTCACTGTTTCCGGGGCAGCCCTGTGGGCCCATCATGGGCTGGATCCGGCCCACAGGTCTTGTGTTTGACATATCTGGCTTATACCATTCATTTAGAAATTGTTTGAAGTTATCACAACGCTGAAAAAAAAAGATTTTTCAGTTAGTCCTCGCACTTTTGACTATCGTAGCATTCACTTGGTCACATGATTGAAATTTGGGCACATGGCAACTCCGTATATTTATGACGGTTGCAGCATCCCAGGGTCATGTAATCATCATTTGCCACCTTCTCAGTGGGCTTCTGATGAGCGAAGTCAATGGGGGAAGCCGGATTTATTTAATAACCCCATGATTTCTCTTAACAACTACAATAATTCAATTAATAATCATGGCCAAAAAAGTTGTAAAATGCCGTATGACTCTCTTAATAACCACCTTGCTTAGAAAAGTAAATTCTGGTTCAAATTGTGGTCCTAAGTCGAGAACTACCTGTATATTTTTTTTTTGGCTTTAAGGTCTAGCATGCAGCCTTGGGATTTCTACATGGCCTGCCATTCCAGTCCTCGCCTTAGGAGCACAGTTTAGCCCAGTGTTTCTCAACCTTGACAATTTTAAGGCATGTGGACTTCAACTCCCAGAATTCCACAGCCAGCAATGCTGGCTGTGGAATTCTGGGAGTGGAAGTCCACATGCCTTAAAATTGTCAAGGTTGAGAAACACTGGTTTAGCCCAACATTTCTGTTGTTAAGCGAAACATTTGTTAAGTGAGTTTTGCCCCATTTTATGACCTCTCTCATTGCAGTTGTTAATAACCCAGTTGTTAATTGAATATGGCTTCCAACGTTGACTTTGCTTGTCAGAAGATCACAAAAGGTGGTCATATGACCTTGGGACACTGCAATGGTCATAAATATGAGACAGTTGCCAAGCATTTAAATTTTGCTCACGTGACCGTGGGGAGGCTGCGTTGGTCGTAAGTGTGAAAAACAGTCATAAGTCACTTTTTTCAGTGCCGTTGTAACTTTGAACGGTCACTAAACGAACGAGGACTACCTGTTCTACTCAGTTTTGACATACTTAAGTGTTTTTCAAGACCAGTCCAGGGTCTGCCACCTGCTGTAGACTTGGAAATAAATGTGTTGGCAACAATGTTGTTATGCATAATAACAATCAGGGATGGCTGAAGCAAATGGTCAGCCAAGTTGAAGATGGTGATCATGAAGTGCAACTGAAGCTGGGCCTGTTTTTTATATGTGGTGGATATAAAATGTTGGCAGAACTTCGGTTGCACTATTTGACCAGACTTTGTGTAGACTACTAAGCTACTTTTCTGCTACATTTAATTCATTCCTTATGTTCATCAAGGACTAAGGAGGTGTACTTAGGGTCACCACTGATCCCCACCCAGCTGCAGCCTGAGTAAGTCCATTGCTTCATTGTCAGCCTTGCAAGGTTGTCAACAAGAAGCATGGCCAGATGAACTAATTCAACTTTATTATAAGATTACCTTAACACAGTGTTTCTCAACCTTGACAATCTTAAGGCATGTGGACTTCAACTCCCAGAATTCCACAGCCAGCATTGCTGTCAAGATTGAGAAACACTGCCTTAACAGAAACTTGCAGGTCTGAAAGTATATCTCCCCCCTCACCTTTACCGTCCAAGAAATTAGGGGGAATCCCTTCTGAGATGCTTACCACGCCACCATTCTCTTCCTCCTGTCTCCCAAAGTGATTCCCACATACCAGGGATAGGCAACCTTGGCTCTTTTATAACTCATGGACTTCAACTCCCAGAATTCCTGAGTCAGCATGGCTCAGATTGGAAATCTCTCCCTTTCCCCTCAGCATGGCTGGCTCAGGAATTCTGGAAGTTGAAGTCCACGAGTCATAAAAGAGCCAAGGTTGCCTACCCCTGCCACATACCATCACATTCACATTTTTCTTAATGGCATGAAAAGACAATGGATACTATCAGTCAAAGTATCTACAGCAAACCCAGTCATTTAAGTGCTAAACATCAGAAGCATCACCATACCATTTTTAAGTGATTAAAATAAGTAGCTTAAGTATAAACTGAAACAACTTCAGTAAAATCTGGTTGGAGCCAAGAGATTTCTCTATTCTGATCAGCTTATTCTGATGAATTTGATATGATTTAGGTGCTTAGCTTTATATAAAGTAACTGAGATTTTTGAAGGGGTGGTAAACATGCCTCTGCATTTCCAAAACTCATCATCATTTTAATGTTTTTTTTTTACCTACAGCTACCTTTTAAATGAATATGAAGTTGGACGGACACCTAACCCTGATATTATATGTAATAAATACATAAAATTCAATTATTTCCTACATTATGCTATGGATAACATTGGTAAGTTCTATTTTTAGTGGTGTTTTCCTTTCTGAAAAATGAAGAACTGGAATAAACCTGAAAATCAGTCCCAATTTTGCATACAGTCTTCTAACAACCTATGAAGATCTGGCTTTTCAGATCAATCTGTGTCTTTCAGAAATTACACTTTTGTATTCAGAGAGGTATTACTTAATTCAGTGAAGATTCCTACTGACCAAAGTGGTGTAAAATGAGAAATATCATAAAAACAAAAGTCGTAAAATATGTTAAAAGTCTTACTAAAATAAAAGCATCTAATTTGCCTTTTATTTTTTTCAAAACTATACCAGGAGCTGATGCAATAGCAACTGGACACTATGCAAGGACCTCCTTGGAAGATCATGAAGTTTTTCAGCAAAAATACAAGCAAAGACCACCAGGACTTTTCAGAAATAGATTTGAAATAAGAAACAGTAAGCGCTCCACTGTTTAAATCGAGATTAGATGTGTAGCATCATTTAATACAATGAAATGAATAGTTAGTAGTAGGCACCTTGTGTGCAAAAGTCTTAGAATACAAATTAAAATTGGAAAACCAGATGAAGAATAGCTAATTGATGTTACATTTTTGCAGAAAGAAAATGTTAGAGAAGCTGCTGCATTGGACTTAAAGTAGTATCATATTATCGTATATCAAAGTATCCTATCCCATTATATATAATATCATCATCATATCAAAGAAACCATAACATATCTTCATCAAGAGCCTTTTTTTACTGAATGTTACTTGAAACAAAACATTTTTTATTCCTTACTTTGGCTTTCTTGGCATATAGTATTAGTTGCATAGTATGTTGGGTTGTTTTATTGTTTTCTGCCATGTTATCATTTTCTGTGATGTAAAGAATTCAACCAAATTTGACATGGATGCATAGTCACTACCCAGAGAGAGACACACACAGAGAGATCAATTCATTTGCTTTCTCCCCCCCCCCCTTTTGTTATTTACAGCTCAGTCTTTTCTCATTCTTTGCAGTAATAAGGCTTTGAACCTCCTTTTCCTTGATCTCAATGGCATCTCATTCCCCCACCTCATTTTGCATATACATTTTTTTCTCTTCCCCGAAGCATGGTCTATATGTGGAAGAGCCCATCCTTCCATCTGGATGAGCAACAGGACATTATAATTGACAGAACTCCATGTGGGCCTCAGTTTTTTCTAGACACTAAATAGTGGAGCTGAAGGAAGAATAGTTTATTAGACAGTTACAGTGGCAGTGAGTACACCATTGGAAGACCAGGTTAGGAACAGATAATTATGGGGAAATTTTTTCCATGTGGCTGTTAAGAGTTGACACCTACGTGATAGCCCTTAAGTCCATTTTTAAATGAGGAAATAGCTTTTCCTAATACTATGATTCCTCATCTTTCTCATTTTCACTGAAGGCCTGATTTTTAGACTATAACGCAATAAACAAAGTATGTGAAAGAGATAGGAATATAGCCGTTCAACTTCCTTCCCTCCTTCCTTCCTTCCTTCCTTCCTTCCTTCCTTCCTTCCTTCCTTCCTTCCTTCCTTTCTTTCTTTCTTTCTTTCTTTCTTTCTTTCTTTCTTTCTTTCTTTTTATTTTTGTCTTTTTTCTGTTCCTGTTGCAGCTGTCAAACTACTTCAGGGAGCTGATCACAATAAAGACCAGACCTTCTTTCTCAGCCAGATTTCTCAAGAAGCTTTGGAGAAAACCATTTTTCCCCTCGGAGACTTAACAAAAGACTTTGTGAAGAAGATAGCTGCAGAACATCAGCTTTACCATGTGTTGAAAAAAAAAGAGGCATGGTAACATTTCCTAGTCAAAGGACTCAATCGTTATAAGAAAAAAAAAATCATTATAACTTAGAGCATTGGTGGCAAACCTATGGCACGCGTGCCAGAGGCGGCACTTGGAGTCCTCTCTGTGGGCACATGTGCCGTTGCCCCAGCCTCACCTCCCTCCATGACCCCCTCCTCACCACCCACCCCCCTTGAGGAGAGTCGCCCCCGAGCATGGCCCACCCGGAGCAGTGCAGCCAAGGACATGGCAGCCAGGCAGTGTAGACAAGACTCTGCCCTCACATCCCATCCCGCACAGTTGATGCTGCGGGGCGCGGGCAGAGGGTGTGGCCACCATGGCGCTGCTGGGCTGCCTGGGCGATCTACGGCAGGCCCTGGAGGCAGTGAGTGGCCCTGCTGGCAGGCGGGGTGGGGGACCAGGTGGGGGTGGGGCAGGGGCAGGAGGTAGAACAGGGGTGGGGCCAGTTTTGGGGCACTCGATCTCTAAAAGGTTCGCCATCACTGACTTAGAGCAACATTTCTCAATCTTGCACATGCATTTCTCTCTTCATGCTTCATAGTGTCCCCCTAAAGCATGGCCCATATGTGGAAGATCTACAACAAAAATTCCCCAGCCAACAATTGCCAAGTTTGAAAAACATTAGTTTAGATGCCTTTGCAATCTGGAAATGACCCAAAACTGTTCTTTTGATTGATTATGTTTCTGGATAGAATTACCAATTGTGCCATTTTAGTGTTTTAATAGTTTCTTAGTTAGGTATTAGTTCTCCTATCTGTCATTGCAGCCAAGTAGGATAGTCTTCTGCTGAACACATACTGTATTTTTGTAGGAGTTGTCAACATATTTCATATTGTTTATTTTTCCTCTAAAGTTCACTATATTTTTCTACGAGATTTTTCGTGCTTGTTTCTAGATAGGTGGATTTGTAGGTGGGAATAGATAGATATAAAGTGCTGTTATTTGAACTTTCAAAATTCCTAAAGGGTGACCGTTAATTGTGTTTTATTTTAGAGCATGGGCCTCTGTTTTGTTGGTAAAAGAGATTTTTCAGAGTTTCTTCTTGAGGTGAGAGATTACCGATTCATATTTTTTATGAACACATATACATTTTATTATTACTTTCATTGTGTATTAATTTTAAATGGGATTTAAATGGAGACAATGTTTCTTTTCCCCTCGTAGTATCTGCAACCACGTCCAGGAAATTTTGTCTCCGTTGAAGATGGCAAAGTTATTGGAACACACCAAGGTGAGCAGGTGTTTTTTCATTCAGGCCCTGTTAAATGTTGTGAAATATAAAGTTCTCTATAGTCACCCCCTCCTTCTTCCCCCCCCCCACCGAATATGGCAACATAAAACTCAGTAAATCTTTAGTTTCCTCCAAATTGTCTCATTTGGCAATGGATTCGAACGAACTTGGGGCCCCAAGCCCGTATAATATCCTCTTGTTAAAAACATCTGGCTCCAAAAGCTTCAAATTAGGTGGCGAGTTATTAAACAGCTGCACTTGGTTATTGTTTTTATGAGGTGATACAGTGTAAGGAAGTGGGGTTTTATAAAGTGAACAAAATGTGGATCCTTTAATCTCCTTAAAAATAAACGGTAAAGCAGGCTAAACATAAACATACTTAAGAAAGGAATCTATTAACGCTGGGAATTAGACCAGACTTGTAAGGAGAGAATAATGTTTTTCAGGGAGAGAGGAGATATAATAATTACTGGGCTTGGCCTGTGGTTGGAGAGGGGGGGGGGCTTGCATATGGAAGGGGATTTCATGGGATGACATTGCCAGGAATTTTGACCAGTCCAGGTGGGAGAGGAGACAGCTTAAAGCCTTGGCATCGGGAAGATGATGTTGTGTGGTTCCTTTGACCGCTGGCATTTTATCTTGACTGCTGATCATTTTCTCCCTGAAGAGAGAGAGAGAAAGACAGAGGGTGGTCCCACTGCTTCAATCTCTTTCTGTTCTGGATAGAAAGGGTGGTTGAGCATACAGAGTCAAGTTTGGAAAGAAATAAAAAAGCAATCGGTTTCAGAGGCAATGCATTTCAGCGGAGCTTTCCAGGCTCCTTTTCATAGACAAACTTTGCAGAACAGTTGTTTTATTATTTGCATTACTGTTGTGATGATCGCCATTGTTATCGATGGTTATTAAGTTGCGGTTGAGAAAAAAATTGAATGGCTGTGACTGCTGTTTAGGAGCATCTCGGAAAACCTGCCAGAGACGTATTGCTGCCAACTGTATTACAAACGGAGCAGCCTATAAATCCAATCAATCAGTATTCATATTCTTGTGCTGGTAATTACCAAAGGGCTGGTAATTCCCGAAAGATCTCCTGTATGGAGAACTAGTGCAGGGAAAGCGCCCCAGAGGGAGACCTGAGCTGCGATATAAGGATATCTGCAAGAGGGACCTAAAGGCCTTGGGAATGGACATTAACAGCTGGGAATCCTTGGCCTCTGATCGTTCAGCCTGGAGGCTAAAGACGCAGCATGGCCTTCTCCAATTCAAAGAGACACTTGTGCGGCAGGCTGAGGCAAAAAGGCAGTCCCGGAACCAGCGAAATCTGGGGGCTGGACAGGGGACAGATTGTATCTGCCCTCAGTGTGGAAGGGACTGTCATTCTCGAATTGGCCTTTTTTAGCCACACCAGATGCTGCCTTAGGACCTCTTTCCAAATCACGATGCCATAGTCTCTTGAGACTGAAGGATGCCAATGAGATGAATTGCCAAAGCCTAACATGTTGCTAATATGTATTATTTTAAACACATCTGGCTGCAATTCTACATTGGGGTAATCTGTTGGCTAAGAGTGCTGGTTATATTCAGAACTCATTCTCATGTTCAGAAATTTCTGTTACATCTTTTTACTAAATGACCTTAAGTATCTTGTCATTATAACTTAGAGCAGTGGTGGCGAACCTATGGCACGCGTGCCAGAGGCGGCACTTGGAGCCCTCTCTGTGGGCACATGTGCCGTTGCCCCACCTCGCCTCCCTCCACGACCCCCTCCTCACCAGCCGCCCCCCTTGAGATTTTGTGGGTTGTTGACTTCCAGCACCATTGGGGGACTACCCACTCAAGGAAAGTTATGTCCCCTTCATTTGGATGCTTATTGAGCGAGTTAAAAGCTACTATATTACTGCTTGCTAACATTATTGGAACTTGAAATCGGTTGAGAATTGGAATATTGGTTAGGATGAGGCTGTTACACTGATTCTTAAGCACAGTGAGTTTTAATTTCAACCATACATTTTTTTAGGGAAATTAATTTATATAAACTCTTGGCAATTGGATTATTTTAATCTGTAATCTCTGCTTGCTGGTATTATGAATGGACCTATTTTTTCTAATGAAATATAGAAAATCCTGATGTAGTTATAGCATTTTCACAGAATAGGCTTATACTTAATACCTGCTAATTTGCTGATTCCTTTTTTTTGCTGCTTTTGTTAATAAATACTGCACCAAAGTTGCAGGAAATAACTTCTAATTGATCTTTTTCAGCCTGTTGCCCCATGCATGTTCAAGATACAAATCTTATTCCTAGCCAGTTTATATGATAGTAATGTGGAATGATAAACAATCATCAGAATAATGATGTGTCTGCATAATTACTGGAATAATGCTGTGTTAGTAGTATGTGACTAACCTAATGTGCATTGCACTTGGAAACAATGTATGTAGCAAACTCCCTCCATTGTATACCCGTGAGAAACGAACTTAATGTATTACAATGTGTATTTCAATGTGTATTCCTTTGTTCCTGAGCAAAGGAAAGTATAAAACTGAAGTCTGAACCCGCCCTCGGGCTTCAGAATTGCTAGTTGCTATTGCTTCTGAAACTGTGCAATAAATCTCTCTGCTAAAACCCTCTGGAATTCGTAAGAGTCCTTTCGTTTTCCACAAGAATAGGATTTAGAATCATAGAGTTTGAAGGACCAGCTAGGTTAGTGGTCTCCCCAGAGGGAAGAGGGTAAAAAAGGACTATATGTTGGTCGCAACAGAGCAATCAAAGCCCTGCCCCTTTGTTGGGATATTGGTTAGGATGAGACTGTTAAGCTGATTCTTAAGCATAATGAGTTTAAGTGTCAACCATACATTCAGTAGATATGTGTTTTCTTTCTGCATTTTGCTTATTTACTGAACAGCTAGTATACTTAGTCTTTTCTTTCCCTTTTGTTTTCAACATATCTGTGGGTTATATTTTAAAATATGTGTTTTGCTTTTCTTAGGTTGCTTCTTATATACGTTTGGCCAGAAAGCTAAGCTAAAGAACTGCAGTCGTGCATGGTTTGTCGTAGATAAAAATGTGGCCTCTGGGGAAGTTTTTGTGGTAAGTTTGCTTGCATTTGTACCGTTTGTGATTGCTGCCTAAAAGAATGTCGTTATTACTGGCCCAAGATTCTTGGCTTTTGCATACAAAAGAAAAACCAAAGCTGTTAAGTAAACCGTTGTCAAGAAGCTTTATTACATCCTGTTCAAACTAGCTTTTGATCAACAGAAAATTGAAAAGGATGTTGGCACAAAGTATGCAATAAATGGCAAGCAATGAAAGAAGTGATCAGACCATTGAGCTTCACCTTGGAACAAGCGTGCCTTCGTCTTAAGTGTTCCATTCCGTCTTTAGGTCAAACCATCATCCTGATGCTCTATTGGTAGTGATAGCCATTGTCGCAGGTTGGAAGGGATGACTTGTATAGCACATCCTTACAGTCACAGGTCACACAGTGTGACATCAGCACTGGGAGGGGCTGAGCAAACAGCAGCACCTTGATGGACATGCTGAAACAGTCCACTTGTTGCCTTTTACATTAATATTTCTCTATTTCCATGGATAATGTATGGATACACAAGTAGTCCTTATGTACAACTGCAATCATGTATTGACTTTGCAACTACACCAGTGATGAAACAGTAACTTTATGTCCAATTCTTGCATTTATGAGGATTGTAAGGCAAACAAGAATTGAAGTGAGATCATAACCATAGTTGTGTAGCGCTTACTAACTGCTTTGCTTAACAATGGAGTTGCCATTACTGAGGTCGCTAAATAGGACTACCTATACTTGATATGCTCCTTTAAGCCTGGATAAAATCCCTAAATTTATAAGGGAAGCAGTGGCTCCACTCTTGAAGCAGTGTTTTTGTTCACTCCTGATCCTTTAAAATATGACTTTTTGGAGATATAGTGCTCAATCAAGTTTAATATCTACCTACACAAAAACATCATTTCTCATTCATATTATCTCTGTAGCTTTAGCTATGTATAAGCTAATTATGGCCAAAACAAACCATGGTTAGGTTTTAGGACCAACACTTTCCTGATTTTTGCAAGAAACAAAACATTTCATAACAATTATATAGTGCAATGTTTCATGATCTTGGCAACTTTAAGATGTGTGGACTTCAATTCCCAGAATTGTGTGAGTTGAATCCGTACATCATAAGATTGAGGAACAACTGATATAATTTAACAGTATAAGCCTGTTGGTTTTAATAAATTATTGTATGACCCATGAGGGGTCAGCACCCTGGGGCCTGTGGTCCTTTGTAGCAATTGGAGACCCTTGTGATCATATTACCAGCAGCCAACAACATGGCTATTGAAAATTAGCAGATTATTTTCCTCATTTTGGAAGATGGAGCCGTAAGGTCTAGTATAAAAGGCTTCAGATAGCTTTAAGATAGTTCAAATAAAGACAGAAAAAAATATAAGGGAAAAAATAGAAATCCTAGCCAGCTGATTCTATATGGTATATAGCCTACTGTACTGTTTAGCATTGCCTTTTGGAAAATGTTAAATAATATTGAATTTGCCCACCCCCAGTGTTCCATCAAACTTGCCTGTGATTTTCTTTTTATGGTCTCCGCTTTATAAAACAAATAAAACAAAGATTCCTCCCAGATGGGTGAAAAGGAATGCAATAAAGATTGCCTTAATCATCACTCTGATAGAAAGCGGACCCAACGATTTGAGTTTTTAACCCCCACGCAAAGCAGAAGTTTTATTCTGCCTTCCAATTTAACCCTGACATTTTTTTTCTTTTACTTGTTGCTAATTTTATCTATATAATAATAATAATAATAATAATAATAACAACAACAACAACAATAATGCCTGGAGACAGCAGAATAGAAGAGAAAGAACTGGAGAAGATAACAAAATACAAAGACCTACAAATAGAAATAGAAAGACTGTGGCAAAAGCAAGCAAGGGTAGTACCAATAGTCATAGGCTCCTTGGGTGCAATCCCAAAACAACTGGAGCACCACTTGAACACCATTGGCATTGACAAATTCGCTATTAGTCAATTGCAAAAGGCGGCCTTATTAGGAACTGCTTCCATCCTGCGACGATATCTGTAATACCATCAAACATCCACATCTGCCTATCCCAGGTCCTGGGTAAGGACTCGATAGGTAGACAAAATGCCAAATCCAGTCTGAACATCTGGCTGACTGTGTAATGATCCATAATAATAATAATAATAATAATAGTAAAGTTGGGAGGGACCTTGGAGGTCATCTAGTCCAACCCCCTGCTCAGGCAGGAAACTCTATGCCATTTTGAACAAATGGCTGTCCAGTCTCTTCTTAAAAACTTCCAGTGTTGGAGCATTTACTGCTTCTGGAGGCAGGTTGTTCCACTGATTAATTGTTCTGACTGTCAGGAAGTTTCTCCTTAGTTCTAAGTTGCTTCTCTCCTTGATTAGTTTCCATCCTTTGCTTCTTGTCCTGCCTTCAGGCACTTTGGAGAATAGCTTGACACCCTCTTCTTTGTGGCAGCCCCTGAGATATTGGAACATTGCTATCATGTCCCCCCTTGTCCTTCTCTTCGTTAAACTAGACATACCCAATTCTAGCAACCGTTCCTTATATGTTTTAGCCTCCAGTCCCCTAATCAGCCTCCAGTCCCCTAATTGTGCTGAGATGCTGAGTTGTAAATTAAAATTTTTGTGTCCTTCTGAAGGCGCCTGGCAGGGATCACCCTGCGCTCTACAGAGACCTTTTACGGACAAGCAGAGTGCACTGGATTGCTGAGGATCCACCTGCAGAACTCGTTCACAACAAAATGATGGAGTGTAATTTCCGCTTCCTACACTTGATGGCGCTAGGTGACTAGTCTTTGTTAACTGAAAGACCTCGGTGGCATAAAGGGCACAGATAGGCCATTTATGGAAGGAAATATTTATAGAATGTTTATTATTTATGTTTATAAAAGGAAACATATTATTTGTTCAGATTACAAATAGCATCGGATATTGATGAGAATACAGATTTTGAGGTTTTAATTTCTGACTTTAATTGGGTTCGTAAAGGGTGTTTTTAAAAATCGAATTCTTTATTTTATTTTGGGGGTTTAATCTTTTAATTGTGTGAGCCTGCCAAAGTCACGTAGATGGGCAATCAAATCAAATCCATAAAGGTCAATCTCTTAATAGTTTTTTTTTTTTTAATTTGTAGTACCTTGTACGTTAACCCTAAATCAAGATGGATCAGTATGGTTGACTCTGGCTAAGCCAATCAGGGATCTTACAGCAGGGCAGGTATGTGCTGAGCCTTCTTCTCTGTGATTATCTTTCATTTACTAATCATTCCAGGACATATTTCCCAATAAATACACTCAGTTGCGCTTTTGAACAGATTGAATAGCAAAGTATGGAGCAGATTTTATTCATGCAATGATAACTGGACAAAAGAAGCAGTTTGTTCATACAATGTTATTGGTTGATTTATTAAACTATTACATATAAGTGAGTCAAAAATCTTAACTGGAATCTTGGTGCTATACATTGCTATTAACAGCTGAATGTTTTAACATGATCCAACATGGCTGATGTGATTCATAATAATTTTCCCTTGGGTTTTGTTTGATTCTCAGCACTGAGGGGAAAGTTTTATAAACATCTATATTGTGTTTGTCTGCTAGCAATGGTAATAATGAAGGGAATTAAGCAATATTTGAAGCCCTATAGTTATTTACTTGCAAGGAGGCCTAATTTACTCTCCAAGAAAAATATTTGCTAATAATGTTGAATGAAATGTAATAGAGAACATTCTTACATGCAGAAGATATCAGATATGATTTGGGGATCTCAGCAAAGGTGGGGGGGGGAGAGACAAGCCTGCTCTGTCTGCATTTATCCTAGATAAGATGGTCCACTTTTTTTCCTGGTTAAGATGGTTCAGTAGTCTAATGTTCAGTTAGAACTGTTTCTCAATCTCAGCAATTTTAAGATAGGTGGACTTCAACTCTCAAAATTTCCCAATCAGCTGAAGCTGGCTAGAGAATTCTGGGACTTAAAGTTCACCCATCTTCTCAGGTTGCTGAGATTGAGAAACACAGAGAAAGCTATTTGAGAATTTTGGGGGAAAATGTACATCCTTACTTGGTTAAATACAGTGAAACTCAACTCTTTCTCTGCCTTTTGTTGCCTTCTCACCACAGTTAACACAGCAAAAATAGCAACTGCAATGGAAGGAGGAGAATGACAGCTTTCATGATTAACAAAAAAGTGTTTTGAGGGCTTGTTCAGTTGCAGGTTTTATCAAGTCCTGTCATGCAAGTTGATGTTGTAGAATAGATTCTGTAAATAACCAAGAGTCTGTGAAAAAGAGTAGGATGTAAGAGGTCTACCCAGCTTGTCAAAAAATTCTCAGCATTAAGAAGTATCTGAATCACAATTGCTTAAAACTGAGAAATTTCAAATTTCAAATTGTGCATATTTTTAACAAAGGAAATAAAGCAGCTGAAAAAAGGGAGACTCCACTGAATTCCTTAATTCAGCACATTCATTCTAAGATGTGTGAATGTAATCAGTTGTGTTATATTACTAGATTATTATAGTTAACTCAATATTTCAGACTTTGGGAAGCTCTCTTTACCATGTGAATGGTAAATTATGATGATTTACTTAGATGCTATTTTTTATCAGTTCGATTTACACCGCTAAGATCACTAATAATTACGATAATAATTATACTAGTGATGAATTCACTCCCCCATCCCCTACTTTATTTGGCATGTTTAAAAGCTAAGTAGTCAGGTGACCCCCCCCCCCCAGGAGAAGTCTTCTCAATACAAAGCCTCACACTTCATACACTACAAATTGTCACTCTTCTGTTTTCCAGTTTGCTGTTTTCTACAAGGGAGATGAATGCCTAGGCAGTGGTATGATTCTGAGACTGGGGCCTTCGGTTTTTACTTTGCAACAGGGCAAGAACAGAGAAACTACCGGTGTGAATATAACAGCTGACGAGGTCACAGTACAGCCGACCAAATGACTTCTTGCTTTTTAAAAATGAACCAGAGGATTTAAAAAAAACCCAAAACAACTAGTTAATCAAAAGCTTTGGAATGATCATCAGATACATGAATGCACATCTGGATGTGTTTGGAATTTATCTGAAAAAAATAAAACAGTTGTGACTTATGAACGGACTCTTCTTGGTGAGAAAATGGTTACCTTTTCTCATCTCTTGAAGCCCAGCCCTGTGGAGAAGTTAAACAGAAGGCGACAACATCCAAATAAGTGTGTATAGGATTGCAATGTAATATATACTGTTTGAAGAATCCTGTTAAGATCATGCAAATAAGTTTTTTGGAATGTGGATTGTGGCTAAATCTACTGCTGGGTGATCACAATAGACTTATTTATCCTCTTTCTCAATATTTGCCTTTTGGTTGCCCATCTTGTAAACTTTCAAACCGGAAAGCCATTTTTGCAAATTGGAAGATAAAGTTACAGCTCAAAGATAGGTAAGAGAATGGAGGGTGAATGCTGGGGATATCTAGAGATCTCTTTTTCCCCCCCTACTTGTTGAAAAATGAATGAAGCTTCTGAAGGAACTCACAATGAAATGTCCTAGTATATGTTAATTGAAGTGCAATAACTAGAAAAATTTCTTGGCTCTTGAATGTGCCAGCACCTTCAGATAATATTTTGAAGAACCTGCTGGTATTTGCCTTTAACCATGAAAAAGCTGCCTTGTGTAATCTCTTCAGCTGTGTTTAGGTATTCTAGCACCCAACACAATTGTATTGGGAAGATGATTGGATCAGGTTCAAATTTTCTGTCCCTCTCATCTTTGTCATTCTCCACAGGTTAGAGCAGGGGTGTCAAACTGCTGGCCCGCGGGCCGGATGCGTCATCGTAAAACTGCGCCCACCCCATTGCCGGCAATGGCAAAAAAGTTCCGATACGTAGCGTGACGTCACGTGACGTCGCAAGTTTGACATGTCTGGGTTAGAGGGCACAGATCTCCAGTGAGGATCTTGCTTTTTACAAGCAGATGCCCCATCAAGCCTGGGACATGCCTAAGCAGAGCCATAGTTTACTGCATGTCTTCAAATCATGGACAAGAGGGGACTGAAGTAAGACTTCTCCTCCTTCTATGTCTCTAATGAGGGTGGAGAATAAGCCCCTTAATAAGCTAAAGCAGTGTTTCTCAACCTTGACAATTTTAAGGCATGTGGACTTCAACTCCCAGAATTCCACAGCCAGCATTGCTGGCTGTGGAATTCTGGGAGTTGAAGTCCACATGCCTTAAAATTGTCAAGGTTGAGAAACACTGAGCTAAAGCATAGCACTATAGTGTGGCACTGAAAATCATTGAAGAAAATGGCATTTTCCTGTTCTGCAATTTTAACAGAAATCATTTTAATGGCATATCTGCACTATGCAGATATGTGGGAAATGCTAGTCTTCTATACAGCCTGCTTATTTTAAAGAGGAAAATCTCACAGATTCATATCAAATCCAAAATTTGTATAATATTTTTTTTTCCTGTACTTTAAAAATGAAATAATGTCTCTTTGGGGAAAAGGGTATTATGAGTCAGATTCATAATTGCATATTATTTTAGAATTTTCATTTTTGACACAAATTACTGTCAAGTTGATGTAACATCATGAACTCTACCTATGTAATTAAATTATTAAATCATTCCTTTAGGTTTGAAAGCTTTTCTTATGTATTGCAAGCAAACAAAAGCTTATATTTTGTAAAGTAAAAATGCTTTAGATTTTAGTGATTATTTTACAAATAACCTGAAAGACGCATAGAACAACATTTCAGTCAATTAGCTTTTAATCATGTTTTCTATTTCAACGTGTGAGAGAAATATTTTGAGAGAAGAGGCTATGAGCAATGGTGAAGCATCAAGTTGGAACAAGCAGTTCTCCCATGAAGACCAAGGTTGGCTTTAGAGCTGCATCATAGCAACCAGTTTCTACAGTAACAAAATGATTCAGCCCACATTACAGGTTGTAGCATTTGCAACTACCTCCCCCACTTTTTTTCTGCCCAGACCAGAAGATGCTGGAATACCTGTACTATAAATGACTATATTCACAAAGAAAAAATTATGTCTGTAATAATAACCTTATCAAGATGATGTACATTTTGTCTCTTTCCTTCACTATCGGGAAATTACATACTATTAGTACAAATTTTTGTTTGATCTTTGGAGATGAAAAAATAACTTGGTAGGGAGGATCCTTACAATTACAAGTATGTAATTGTTCCCTTTTGCATGACAATTTAGTATCTTTACTAAGTCAAGGGAAATTATTGAAAATGACAGCAATGGGGCTTGGAAAGGCAATCTCCCTTCCTCAGACGGACTGATCCAGTTATTTCTATAGGTGCAGGCTCAAGGTTGAAATCAAGATGGCTGCTGCAAAAGCACAATTGTGTGCCATCTTAACTTTTTAAACTACACCTTGTGGACACATCTGGTTCTGGCTTTGATGTGGCACTGCTTGGAGCAGCTTAGAGCTACAGTAGCTGCTACTTATTTTAGCCTATAAAATGAAGTAAGCCTAATTAGCTTATCCAGCATGAATTTCAGAAAAGTCCTGCAATGAACTAAACGATTCTGGAACACTGAACCAGCTGAAATACACTCCACTGCACTTACCAAGCCCCAACAGTTGTCTTGATTTCCACCTGGTTCCTTAAGCCAAAGTGACATCTTCTGGAAGGTCATGCCATTGGGAGGCCATTAAGTGTACTACATGAAGGAAGTCCCCTTTATCATGCAAGATAGACTACCTCCAGTGTGGAAATGGAGAAGAGTGTCCTCTCAGCAGACATTTTTATGATGCTGTGGTGTGTGTTTATGTGCCAAGAATCAGCCCTGTGCCATGATCTTGATTCTGAAGATAGGATAACAAGACCTCCTGCTTGCATTTTGTTTAACATAAGATTGCAAACATTTAGGCAGCTAAATCTGGTACAAGCCAGATATTACCTTTTGTTATCAAGAAGCATATTAAAATCAAGAATAATCATGGGTTTAGTGTTAGTAATTAAGAGCAGTTACAGAACAAAACAACTCACAAAAATACAATTATATGATTCTAATCTCCACTTTCTCCTCAGCAAACGCCTTTACAAAATGATGACAAACCTTGCCTTGTGTGTTTTATGAGACATGCCTAGAAGAATTAAAGTATACTTTTTGCTGCAAAAATTATCTTTTTCACATATATATGAACTTGGAACTCAAGATAGCCCAGGGCAAAAAAGAACACTTTGTAAAAATTTCATGAAAATAAAGGTTTAACTATTATTATTTTATGTAAAATGATTCTATCAAGACTTACTGAATTATGAAAGTTGCGTTGCTAGTTTAGCAATATTTGTATTTGTGATAAATTAACAGATTTCATCTTTTAACACTACAGTAATTATCTTTCCGTCATAGACTCCCGAATACCTCTGATTATAATCTGATTTCCTTTGCAAATCCTTCTTGATAGATCTCACACTTTCAGACTCCTTTTCTACTATGTGTAGGGTGACCTAGTGAACCACCTGTTAATAAATATATTCGAGTGAATGTGATTCATAAAATAGTATCATAAATATGATAGACAAGCCATGATCTGTTGGGTTGTTTCAGAGATATGTCCTTACCAGATTTCTCAATGCCTTCAGGAATGGCAGAGCTTCTCATATACTGCCTTGGAAAATTTGGGATACATCCAGAAATGTATCTGCCTTGAAAATAATCAGTGTTGAACTATATAATACAAACATCAGGAGTGGACCACAGGAACTGTTTTTTTGAGACTTTGTATTATGTCATAAAATTTATATTTGATAATTTGTATGTAATAAAAAATTATAAAATTTGCCAAATTTCAATTCCACAGGAGTCATGGGGCCCAGATCTTGGATGCATTGTGTATGTTAATCCATCTGGGATATTTTGATTCAAAAATGGTTGCCATATGAAGCATCGTTTTGCCCAGGTCATGTCAACAGGAATTTTAGTACTGTAGTACTAAAGAAAGTACTATACTATTATAGATGAATCCTTATTAGAAACATCCCATATTTGAGTATAGAAAATTTTGTAATATCATGCATGAGAATATATACATGTTCTGGACATTTTCCTGAGATAAAATACTTTTAATGGACCTTTTGTCTTCTTAACCATTATGGCGTAAATTTATTTTCTAAAATTACAGAACCCTACTTGTTTGGGTTCAGAAACTTGAGTAGGATCAGGGAGAGAAAATTTTATCTATAAAGTCTCACTCCCACTCATTCTCTCTATAAAGTGATTAAGAATACAGCAGAGTAGACTTCCAGTTTTGTGCCTTAGCGAGACGGGATGCAGGAAGGCAGGGATCTGCCTTCTGCGCCCAATTTTGCCCTGCTGGGGGCCCTAAAAAGGGCCTAAAGTCACCCCAAAGAGGCGATGAAGAGGAGGGGTGCCTTGTTGATCACAGAGACATGGCAGTCTTTCCGTTCGATCCAAGGAAAGCCCTCCAGACCGGCAGGGGAAAGACTGGCTACATCCCTGTGGCTGGCCATTAGCTGCTGACAACTGAAGAAGCAGCACCAGTTAACACATTGTAAATAGCATGTTTGGAACTGGGTGAGAATATTGATCCTTTCTTTACTATTTTACAACTGAATTTTCTGGGAAAGGCTCCCAAGAAGCTAAAAACCTCCGAATGTAATGGAAATGGCATTTTAATTTTATGGGGGACAGAAACACACAATACTGAAGGAGAAGTAAGATAAAACTACAGCTTTGATAAATTTGAGAACTGAGATAACTGTTAAGATTTTCTTTGAAAAAAAAAACATTGAGGCTAAATATAAGAAATCAATCCTTTTTCTTATGAGTGGAAAATGGACTTTGAATGACATCTAGTGGTGGATTTGTGCACAGCAGTATAATTTGTTTCCTGGCTGTTGGTGACTCCTAGCTTGGGAGAACAGCTGGCAATAAAGGAAAATATTTTGGCATACCTATCACCCTGACCTTCCTGGATTATAAATACCTACTGAGCTTGGACTTTTAACTTCAAGAGCTAGTGGGAGAGAAAGAAAAAATTGACCTTGGATTACGTCTGGTTGGGAGAGACTTTTGAGCTGTTTTCAGGGAGGTTGAACATTTTGAACACTTTGAACATTGTGGATTACAACCTTACTTGGCTGACAATTTTTGAATACTTGAGACAAAGGATCACTATAAAATATTGCTTTCAGGACTGGACCTATACTCTGGAAGCTACTGGATTATAAAGGCTACATATAAAGACCAGAAAACTAGAGGAAACTTTGATCTACTCTTACTGATACTGGTGATACTAGAGAATCTCCAGGAACGAGGCCTCAAGAAAAAAACAAACACTTTCCAGAAGGAAATATACTCTGTGCTACAAATAATTCACCAAACAATTGTTGCATACAAAGAGAACATAAAAAGAAATCATAATAAGACTAAAAACAATTTAAACAACATAAATGAGCAAATCTCCAAATTAAAACCAACTAGAAATTTCTCAGATAACAACTACAAAATATGAACAAATAAACCAGAAATCAGAAGACGAAACAGAAGAAATGGATTTAGAGATGGAAGAGATAAAAGAAGGGAAATATAAATGACCATATACAAACAAAATACTGCAAGACTTAGCTATAACAATGAAAATACAAAAGGACCCTTTACCCTTTAGTTCTGCAAAATAGATCTGATGGCAAGGAAGAAGTTTTTAAAAAATGGAATATAGAGCTGTTAGTGGAAATGTCACAACCTGGGAAACAGGGAATGAAAAGACAAATGGAGGGAGAAAAAAACTGGGAGTTGTTTAAGGAATACAAATGGACAGAATCCCCCCCCCCCAAAATACCCTACCTAAATTGTCTTCCTCATGCCAAGCAATTTTCACAAAAATAGAAAGAAAATTCCTGAGCAATCTAATTGGAAAGCTACTTGGAAAAGAAAGAAAGTGAGAGTTAGATTTAAAAAAAAGATTTGACCTTTTAGAGGGGGCATTATATGTTTAAATACTTGTCTGAATAAGATTAAAAGAACGGATGATCCTTAGATAAAATTAAACTTTTATAATGAAAGATATGATTTAGATTTAAAATAGCACTTTTTCTTTCTTTTTTTGATAAGGGACATATGAAAATAAGAGGATTGATATGAGTAA